TATAATCTTTCCTCTTTCGTATCGCAACAGTCAATTATTTCTTATTATAATTATTTCTTACCACGTTGTATGGTCTACAAATAAACTATTATTACTTTTATTCCACGTATCTCTATATTTAAAAATATAATTTTCTCGGGACGGTGATACGTATAAAAATTTACACTGACGCGAGCTATTAAAATATATATTAGACTTTCCATTTAGCTGTGAAACGATAGCCGAATCCTGCGATCTCACCTTTGAATCATCTCGTATTTTTGTCCCGATGATGACATCGCCCCGACTGTCAGCACGCGAGACTTACGTACGAAAGTCACGCACGATTCGTGGCCGCTTTTTTCTTCCAACCAGGGGAGAAAGGAACCTGATTACCCATCGACCACGAGAAAGTGGATTACCTCGGTTAATCGCATTCCACGACCGCGAACAATTTCGCGATTCTCGGGACGGAAATTGAGTTATTTGCATAACGGTCGATCGATCGTCTTCTAAAAAGATAATCCAGCCTATCCTCTTTTCTCGTCGATGAACCGTCCATTGTCGCAATCTCTTTTTTTTTTTTTTCGCACGTAACAATGCTTCAACTGATAGACGGCAATTTATGGATTGTGTATACACGAAGGAAGAGGGAACGAGAGATTTCTTCGCGTTCAAAACAACCGATAACGTAACGAAGAGACTTCTGGCGGGGGATCGAATCATTGAATTAGAACGACCCGTTGACTCCGCTCTTTCAGACCTTGTTCTTGATCATACACATGGGAAACTCCTTACGGAGTGTAATTTTAACTTGAAACATCGTCGAGGTTGCCACGCAAACGTGCAAGCGTTTTTCATCTAACCGGATTTTATCCTCAATTGGTATTTCGAATAAGTCGTTTGTTGGTAATTCGCAACAGTTTGGATTAAATCATTTTACTTTACAAGTAGTTAGCATCTAGTGGTTTTCAATTGAGACGTGGAATATTAATTAAATTTAAACGATTTGTAATTAAGCGAGCTACAAATTTAATTCGAACTCTCGTGATCTATAATAATTGTACTATAATAATTGAAGATTATTGATCACAATAGGTGATTGTTCAATTTTTTAACGTATACGAGCAAGCAAGGTCGTTTAAAAAAGCAAAAGAGGAATATGATAATGAAGCGATATACACGTTCTATACAAATATTCAAAGTAAACGTGTTTTTCTCCTTATTCTCCTCGGATATAAATTAACGATGAAATATTGGCATTAACAATTAGCATCCTTAATCTCGGATAAATTCGAATTTTCTCGATTCTCCTTAAAGCATTTGATTGAAACATCGGTGCGTTTCTTGGGGCGAGGAAAAGAACGTTTCATTTCATCGCGAGTGAAACGGAACCGGGAAAACGAAGAAAAAATTCTGGCGTGAGTCACTCGAACTAGTCGTGTGACGATCGTTCTGTTATTTCCTTTAACGCCTTCGCCAGTCGTTCCAGACTGGCAGAGAGAAAAGAAGAACGCTCGTGGCCGTTTTCTTATTCGTCATTGTACACCGGGAACCGGATATTAAAATGGAAAAAATAACGTGAAAAAAAAAGGAAAAAGAATCGAATGTTGCGTAACCAAGGATATATCTCAGGTATATTAGAACGTACATATGTATGTATCTGTTATTTCAGCCTTTATCTCTTTCGAGATGATACGAGAGTAGATAGATGATAGATCGTGTTGTTACGTCAGTTGGTAGCTAGTTTTAGCTTGTCTAAACACAAAGGTTTCTGCCTTTGAGTTAGAAGTAGCAGGCTACGTTGAAATAAACTTGGAGGAATTGGCGCCATATGCATGGTATCGGAGAATATGGAGTTATGAGGAAATTTATTTTTGGCTTAAGGAGAAAAGAAGGCGGCTACGCTAAAGGATATTTAGAACGAATCCTTGTAAATCCTCTTTGACATCATTTTAAAAATTTCGAAGGCTTTTGCAAATCTAAAATCGTATTGTAAGAGTGCAACACGTTAGAAATTTCTTGACCGCAAGGAAAATAATATATCTAACGATAAACGAAGCATTGTAAAACTTGATTTATGGAGAACACTACGCCCAAGCATGTCCTAGATTTTCAACAAAGCGTCGTAATACACTCGACTTCTCACAATCTTCGCAAATTACAACGCTCGACTCCACGTCAATGGCGCTTAACATTTGCCAGTTAATCGATCACACGAGACTGTCCACAAACTTTACGCAATCGAGCCGCAGGTGTCTCGTCTGGGTCACGCCAGGTCATACCGATATAAAAAAAACCCGATCGAATCTTGCCACGTAACCGCTTCGTTACGCGATCATCGATCCTATTGCGTTTTCTCCTTCTTATTCGAGGGAACTTTCTTTTGAACGCTCTATCAAAGAGGTTTCATCGTGGTCCAGGCGCGCAAAGGGGACCACCTCGTCTCTTGAGCGTTAATTACGATCGACACGGAGAGAACACGGTGATTCGTGCGATCTCCGTTAACTATCGTATCGACCGATCGTCCAATTAACGTAAAAACTGGCTCGAGATTTTTTTTTTTTTTGCATCGCGCGAGAATAATAATTGGAAGTCGAGTTATCCATATCCGAATCCATTGAGCGAATGGAAAACGGTGGACGTTGGAAATTGTCGTAAAATCGGATAAAAAGAACAATTCGAAATTCGACTTAATTCGAATCGCGATAAATCTTTTCTTCGTACGTTGGCCAATCAACGGTGGCAATAAATTCTTTCGACCGATTTTTTTTTTTCCATCCATTAAAAATTCACGAGCACATTGGTGACTACACCTGGCTCGACCGCTTCGACCACGAGTCAGACCTTCACCCGGATTCGATACGCGGCTCACGGCGTAAGCATAAGCACTCCGACAAGTGCTCGAACCGCTTTTTTCTTCATCTTTCTGTTTTTTTTCTCCT